CCTGAAACCCACAGCGTCCCTTTTCAGCAGGAAGTAGCTAAGAGAATACGCCATCCCCTTTTCCTTATGAATCAGGGTGAAGACTCTCTCAGGGAGGAGTGATAGGGAATGGTAAGGGACACAGTGACAAAGGAGATTAATCAGAACTGGCTTTGACAAGCACTATGGCAATTGGATAATTAAAACAGACATTGGGGGGGGGAGAAGAACGAATTGGGGATGAGGATGGAGAAAACAGTGCAACAGTGAATGAATGAAAACCCAAAATCTCTGTAAATGTTCATTAAAACTAATAAAATTTAATTAAAAAAAAAAGAATTCAGGGACCTTGATTCTGTTCTTTAAGTTGTGCAATCTTTCTTTTTTCCTCAACTTTTTAATTTCAGTTACCAATAATTATTCTTCTTCGTGTTTTGGGTTTTTTTTTATTTCTTGCAATTTTTTTTTTTTAATTTTGCACTGGTTTACCTACAAAGTTCATGTGCATTAGCCCTCACACCCACCAGATCCCTTTCACCACTCCAACCCCCCAACTCCATCAAACTGTGCAGTCCCTTGATTATTCTCCTACTTATCCCTCTCCATCTGCTCCCCATACCCTAAGATCTTTATACACATTTTACTAGTTACCTATTTCTATGATAATGTTCTTATACAGTATTTGTCCTTATGAGACTGAGGTAGTTCACTTAACATAATACTTTCCAGTTCCTCTCCAATTTAGGTAGTGATTTACAAAATAATTGCTCCTCCAGTTCTGGTGCCACACTCCTCCTCATAAAGCACGACCTTCCAAATTATGTCTTCTGCATTGTAGATTGTAAAGTTGTGGACACAAAACATATCTCTGACATGCTCCTTTCCCCTATTTTGAACCATGCAGTGTTTCTTCTCTTGTGACAGTTGCTTCCTTCTCCAAGTATAGCTTACCCAGCCGGGTAGTCTGGAATTCCTATTCTTCTAAGTGTTCCTCCTAGACCTTGGATAAGTCACGCCAGTCTTAGCTCCTCCTGTAGGCTGGAGGTGTAGAGAAGAAAAGACAGTGTTCTTCCATGATTCTTTTAGTTACTCCTTTACTCTGTGAACATGTACAATAGGGTATAATTCTTTGTGTGCACATTGAACTTGTTGATCTTTTAATCTGAAGGGTTAAGATAGATCTTGATGGTTTTAAACTTGGCCCTGAGGCTACTTTTTAGATGCTAAACACAGGTCTGTTGAGTGTTCACTAGGGCCTTTCTTTGGGAGACTGTTTAGCTTTTATTTTTGCCCCTATTAAAAATAATGGGATAAAACCTATTGCAGAGAAGACAGCTGAGATAGTGATAGCCCTTATCAAGGCCCAATTTGACTTGGTTTAAAGATTGACTCATTAATAACCTTAGTTATGCAGATAACACAGCCTGGCTTGCTGATAGTTAGGAGGACTTGAAGTACTTGCTGCAGAAGATTAAACACTGCATTCAATATGAATTGAATCTCAATGTAAGGAACACAAAAAAATCTCAACACTGACCAGTAGGCAACATCATGATAGATGGTGAAAACTTAAAACTCTCAAGGACTTCATCTTACTTGGACCCATAATTAGTATACTTGGTAACAGCAGTTGGAAGATCAGGAGACAATCCACTGGGAAACTCTGTAGTTAGGGACCTCTCCAAATTATTGAGGAACAGTGTTGTCTGCTTGAGGACTAAAGTGTGCCTGATTCAGGCCATGTTCTTTTTAGTCACTTGCTGTGCACCTGAGAGATGGACAATGAGTAAGGATGACAGGAGAAGAATTGATGCTTTTGAGCGGTTTCGTTGGGGAAGAGTAGTGAAAATCACATGAACAAATAGTTAATCTTGGATAAAGGGCAGCCAGAGTTCTCCATGGAAACAGGGATGATGACGCTTCATCTCACATACTTTGGGCATGTTGCTAGGAGAGGGTATTCCTTGGAGAGGGACATTGTGCTTGGGAAGGTCAGTGAAAGAGAGGAAAACATTTAATGAGATGGATTGACACAGTTGATCCCAACCCTTGGTGGCCCTCCATTGGATTTCTGAGGCTATAATCTTTACAGGAGAAAACTGTAGATCTTCCTCCCTTAGAGTAGCTGAAGGATTAGAACCTTGCAGCTAGCAGCAGCCCATCATATTACATACTACACCAACAGAACTCCTTAATATACAGTATGTAATAAACATAACTATGTGTACCAGGAAACCAGATTAGTGTGACTTGCTTGATTTTAATATTTATTACAGTCACCTGAAAGCAAGGTCACAATATTTGCAGGGTATGCCCATAATCAGTTTTGTGGCTTTTTGTGTACATACAAATCTAAATTTTGCCAACTTACCTCATTTTTGTAGTCAGCAGCGGAAATGTAGTCATGGTCTGACTCTTCCAGACATTGAGAAAACCCAGATTTTTTGGACATTGTGCCCAGACTTTAGAGAGATGATTTTAAAGTCAATTAGTGCATTTTCATTAATTGCTTGTTGTTATTTCTGAACAGAGCTCTCTCAGAAAAAATTGTCTCAGTCCTGCCAAGGATGAAATGTCCACACCAACTGGAGCCACATCAGATCCAGGGCATGGATTTTATTCACATATTTCCTGTGGTTCAGGTGAGAGTTTTGTGTGATGTCTTGTCTTCTGCTGAAGTGGGTCTAGTTTCTAGGTTGTCTGACCTGGATCCTGTAGCTGATAGAATTTGGTAACAGAACATGGTGGTGGTTCCTGATGTTTTCTAAAGCTTAGAGTATTTTGTGTACTCTGCTTTTACAGTCAGTCATCTGTTACAGTCTTTGCATATTCCCATCAGTAACTTTTCATTTTTTTTGATAAATAAAAATCTTTATGACCGTGAATGCTGTCATCTCTCCCAGTTCACTTTATTTCTGCTTTTCTTTGTTCTTTCTATTTTAACCTCTTTGATTTCCTTTTTCCCCCCCTCTAGGTTTCCTCATCCTTGTGTCCTTTCTTGCATTGCCTGACTTTGACATTTGCTGGAATATTTTTCCCTCCCTTCAATGTTGTTATGTGCTGTCAAGTCACCTGCAACTCATAGCGACCCTGTGTACAGTAGCTCTGAAGCCTGCTCTATCCTGAGCCAGCTTTATCATCTCTGATACACCTACCCACATTCCCCAGTTACTGAGTCCATCTCATCAAGGGTCTTCCTCTCTTGCACTGTCCTGTGACCCTCCCAAGCATAATGTCTTTCTCCAAGGACTGGTTCCTCCTTGCAACATGCCCAAAGTATGTCAGACAGAGCTTCAAAATCTTTGCCTTCAATGAGGAGCATCCTGATTTCACCCTCTCTAGGACAAACTTGATTGTTCTCCTAGCTGTCCATGGTCTATTCAGTACTCTTCTTGAGCACCACAGCTCAAAGACATCAGTTCTCCTTCTGTCATCCCTAGTGTTTGTCCAGCTTTCTGATGCATAGTAAGTAATTACGAAAATCATACCCTGGATCTGGTACACCTTAGTCTGCAGACTGACATCATTGCTCTTCAGTATTCTAGAGAGATCCCTGACAGCAGACTTTGCCAGTGCAATTCATCTTTAGATTTTCTGGCTGTTGGTGGGAAGAGTGTTGATTGTGGGGCCAAGCAAGCTGAAGCTTTTAACAATCTCAATCTCTTTCTCATCTATCATGATGCTGCCAACTGGCCCAGTGGTGAGAATCTTTGTTGTCTTGATGTTGAGCTTTAATCCGTATTGAAGGTTGTGGTCCTTGACCTTCTGCAGCAAGTGCTTCAGATTTTCCCCAGTTTCAGCAAGGTGTGTCATCTATACAGAGGCAACACAGGTTGTTGATGAGTCTTCCTCCAATCTTGATGCCACATTTCTGCTCATAGAGCCCAGCCTCCCAGATGATCTGTTCCGCATATAGACTGAAAAGGTATGAAGGTAAGATGCATCCATGACATCCACCTTTCCTAATTTTGAACTATACAGTGATTCCGTGCTCCGTTCTGATGATTGCCTCCTGGTCCAAGTATAGGTTTTATATAAGCACACTCAAGTGTTCTGATATTTTTATTCTTCTCACGGTTAGCCACTGTCTATTGTGATCCACACAGTGAAATGTCTTTGCACAGTCAATGAAACACAGACAGACATTACTCTCTGGTGCTCTCTTTTTTCA